ATTGAATTTGATAACCTTGTCGAATCAAAGTTTCAACTTTGTAATAATGAAAATAAAGTTAGTTTTTAAAATCAATGCATATCTACTTTAAAAAGACATGATTAGTTGATGATTTGAAGTTGATTACAAGTCTGCTGTTTGATGAATGCAATAAAATCCCCCCCCCCCCAAAAAAAAAAAAAATTGAAGCTTTTTTGCACAAATAGGAATCAACATATTAACATATTTTTAACAATTGTTTTTTCTATTTCGATGCGGTAGATTGGAATGAGCATCACAACAACATCGGAGAAACAGTATATGTACAGTAGTGTGAATATTTTCAGGAGCTCACTAGTAGTGAACATATGCTTTATTCTTTAATTTGAACCCCCTCCAGTACATCTACATCTGTAGAAGCCAGCCAATTCAGTGTGGTAATCGTATGATGGGACAAGTACTCTTGAGAGAAAGCTGCAGACACTGCTCATCAGATGAACCCCACTCCAACATAAGCATCTGGGACTACACGCTTGTACTTGACATGACAAGTCAGTGATCGGGCCTGGCAATGATATAACTCGAATCACTTACAGTAAAATGCCAAAGCAAATTGAAAATCCAAAGACTTTAAGGTAGCAAGAGAGTAAAGAAAACATTTACAGTATGGTCATATACCAATTACCATCAAACCTTTAATTCCGTTCATATTTCTGTATATACAAAAAAATAAATAATAATACCCGTAATAATATTTGGTTCTTGTAAAGCACACGTCTCTATGCCCTTCCAAAGAGCTTTGGAATCTATTACCCAAGCTTCAGCTTCGGCAGCCATAATCAGCGCACAGTGCATTTCAAGAAATAATCCTACCAGGTACCCATTTACGTACCTCACCTGGGTCTAGTGTGGGAAATGTAAATCAATATCTTGCCAAAGGACATTAGTGCGGCGGCGGGACTCAAACCGCGGACCTTGTGATCCACATTCCAGTGAAATATCCACGCGACCACAACACCTCTACTCATGTAATAAATCAAAAGGATTCAAATAAAGTACCCTATTAAAAGAAAAGTAGTCATATTTCATCATAAACTTGTTAAATTAGTTTAATTACAGGTTAACATGGTACAGAGTTTGTTTTCATTTTAAACAGCCAATATTGCATTCTTCTGTCCGTTCCACTCCCAGATAAAGCCTCTTTTCTCCTTACTCTCTCTTTGGTCCTGATGTTTGTCTAACTCAAAATACTCAACCAAAATAGAGGAAAAAGATAAATCCACCAAGGGAACATGTTGAATGCTCCAATTTCATCAGACAAAAGATCCATTATTTATCAAGGAAAAGCACTAAGCCATGATTATAATCCCTGGTTATTGGCAAAGGATTTGTAAAAGTTGTACATACATTTCTGGAATCACAAAAATAGAAAGATATCCTCTTCCTATGTAAAATATATATTGTATAACCTCAATTCACTTCACTCAGTAAATCAGCATCATTCCTATGATTGCAAAATAATTACATCACGAAATAATAGAGCCATGAATTGTACTAACAAGGTACATGCATGTGAGGGCCCTAAAATCTACAAAGATATCAAATTTATTTCAATTTAGACACACAATGTACATACCGGTACCTCAAATGGGGCACATTTCTTGCCAGTATAATCAGACTTCCCTGAGGGAAACACACTGGAGGCCCTCTCTATTATCTTCCAAGTTTAGGCATCCTCAAGCTATTAAGCACTAATCAAATTTATTTTCAATCGAGGAAGGAGGAAATGTAGGCAATATCAGGCAATTGGTTAATAATGACGTCTTACACCCCAGAGCTAAATGAATCCGGTCCCGTAGTCGAACGAAACGGGAGAGAAAGAGAGAGAGAGAGAGAGAGAGAGAGAGACAGAGAGACAGAGAGAAGGTGGTTGGTTGTGCTGCACTACCGGTAGACAGTTTAGAAATTTGTGAAAACAGTCAAAAGGAGTTAATGCAAACAAAATGAATTTAATCTAGCGCATTTTTACAAGTTTACCTACAGTACATGTAGAAAAGTATAAATGTTTATATGTGATAAACATACATTTGTAGATATTTTGCCTTAGAAAAATAGTTTTCAATCTCATAGAACATAAACATAAAGAGGCAGATTTTCATTCGACAGTCATTTAGAAAATTGAGAAGATTTTCCAATATCTTCCAAGTATTTATATTTCATAAATACAGACACAATTTATGTAGAGTCAGTGTACTAAAATAATTTTCAGAATTACTAATACACTTGAAAATGCATTACAAAATGAAATCTTAAGCTGGTCAGCTGTATATGTAGACATTTGGAATCTCTTAAATATGGCCAAAAGGAGGAACAATATACAAGGATGACAAACGTAACGGAATGTATAATTTTTCCATTTATTGGCTGTGAAATTGTCACACCCTTCTGGAGTCTTTGATCAGGGTAATGATCCATGGACAGGCTGGGATGATTATACAAGCCTGGGGCAGGGTAGATGATTTGCTGGATACGGTAATGAGCTTATGAAAGTTTGATGTAGATTACCTAATCCTCATCACTCTCTCTCAGCTTCTCTCCTCTCAACCCTGTTCTGTCCCTCTTCATCCCAGCTTCTCCTGCCCCTCCCCCTTCCCTCTCTTTCACCCTCTGTCATCTCTCGGCTTTCTATACCCCCCCCCCCCCGAATCCATCATTCTCTGACCTTCTTAATCCTTCTCCCTCTCAGCCTCTCTCCTATCAACCCACTTCTGTCCCTCTTCATCCCAGCTTCTCCTCCCCCTCTCTTTTAGCCTCCCCGTCCTTCCCTCTCTTGCACCCTCTGCCATCTCTCTTCTTTCTATAACAACCCCTCTTTCTCTCTGTCTCTCTGTGATCTTCTTAACCCTTCTTCTCTCGGCCTTTCTTCTATCAACCCACTACTGTCCCTCTTCATCCCAGCTTCTCCCGCCCTCTCTCTCACTTTCACTCTCTACCATAGATCTCTCTTCTTTTCTATACCCCCCCCTCCTTCTATCTCTCTCTCTCTCTGACCTTTCTTAACCCTTCTTCCTCTCAGCCTCTTTCCCATCAACCCACTTCTGTCCCTTCATCCCAGCTTCTCCCCGCTCTCTCCCTCCCTTCCTCTCTTTCAGCCACTGCCATCTCTTTAGCCAACTGCCTGGACTGTTTCCGTGTTGCGCACCCAATCGGCTGAGAAAATAGCACATCCTCAATGCTAAACCGGAGACAGACCTTGCCTTCTATTCTCACCTTGCAGCGGTTGTATTTTTGGGGGTCACGCAATCAGTGGAAACACCGTGCTGTGTGGAGGCACGAGCGTGTGTAAGGAAGGACAAAGATGATTGGAGAAAAAATATATATATAAAAACAGACAGAATCTGGACTACCATCTCCCTTCTTTCTCTACTCCTCATTTCTTTCCTTTTCTCTCTTTCTCTCTCTCTCTCTCTCTCTCTCTCTCTCTCTCTCTCTCTCACACACACTTTCCCTCTCTCTTTCTCTCTCTCTGTGATACACACTACCCCCATTGATCTGTTCCTCTTTCTCCAAGCTTCCTCCACCCCCTTCTTTCACTGCTCTCTCAATCGCAGCCCCTCCCTCTTTTCTTTTGCTCTCTTTTACCTCCCTCTCAGTCTCTCTCTTCCTTTGCTGAACCTGCCTTTTTCTCTGATCAGAAAATGAAAAATATACTTAAACAGCAAAATGAAAAAATACAATTCTCCTTCTTCTTTCAAAGAAAAACTAGTTTGCAGTTTGCGATGTCAATTTTGGCTTATAAAGTATCAAGAGCTTTTCAGAAAATTCATTTTGAATGTGTGAGGGTATTTGTGCGCATGTGTGTGTGTGCCTTTAGCAGATATTAACATGTAAAAAGCTTCACATTTTAATTTTATTCATTGTCAGGTGCACCAGGGAAATTATAGTCAAAGAAATTATAAACGGCTAACGCCAGCACTCAGCAACACTCAAAACACAATGCCCTCTTAGGAAATCATCTCTATAAGCTCCTGAAACCTATGGTCTTTTGCTGCTTCTCCAAATCTCCTTTTTCAAAATTCAGATATCATTCCTTTGATTATGACTCCCTTAAGACTTACGGAGCCATGGTAATATTGATATTACATGTAACTATCAGTTATATAATGTAAAATACTTTGTAAATATTGTTATTACCTTGTAAAGTGACCGTCTCAGCCTGAGTGCGGGTGTGCGTATTGGGTATTTACAGACATGTATCAATCAGATATGATTATTTGCGTCTGGGGATCGACCTTTAAACGTCACCATCCGAAAGACGTGACTCAGTTTCGAACCTGCGTCCTCGGCTAAATTAGTTTGTAACTTCCACTTTTAGCTGGATTACAGGTGCACGCCACAACGCTTACATGTAGTTGTCCTATTGTAACATAAAATGCTCTTTTTAAAAGGAAAAGACTCTCATTTCTATTTTCAAGTTTGTGTCTGTAGTTTTGAATGATTGCAATCAATAAATATTCTGTATAAATATCTGTTTTAAATACAATGCATATATTAACAACATTATCAATAATCGTGTTAACTGAAGCAGTTTTGTAGTTTACATTGCATATCTAGTTCCTTACAAAAGCATTTTAACCTAAAGCCACCAATATCCCTTTAAAGTCTCCATATTAGTTTATTTCCTTACAATGCCGTTCTTATCCAACAACATGAGGATGCATATCTGAGCAATAAATTAATCCACCAACAATGACAGAGTGTAAAAAGAGCAATAGATTAATTTTCCTACAAAGCTAGGCTCACTTCACAACGATAAAAGGCCAAAATATCAAATACCCACTGAAGCAGAAACATAGTATGTAATTTGCGTGATTAGATTAATCTAGGCAATATTGCCTGGTGCATTTTTTTGGTTCACTTTGATAGTTGTCATGACGATGTCACCACTTTCAGGTAATATTGACAGAAGTAAGCCAAATTCATACAATCTCCAAAGATTGCAAAAATATATTTTTCCCTACCTTTTTTTGTCCCCACTTATTTCTGCCAGCCTTTTAACGACATCCACTTCATCGATCAATCCTGGAAAAAAACATATTCATCCTTGCAGCTTGAATCATCAACATTGACATTCTGTCAAAAAAGTAAAGTGTGATATTCAAACACGATATGAATTCTTCAAGAGCCCATAGGGCAGTACCTTTGAGGTGTTGGCTAAAGGGGATCTTCACACCCCACTCCGACCTTGTTCACACGACACAGTTATGCAGACCCATTTCGATCGACTTTTCATGTGGCTCGTAGTAATTAAGGCAGGAGATCGCACATTCACTGTTGCAGCAGCTACATGTAAGGAGTGGAATAAACTTCCATCAAGTATAAAAGCTGCTCCATCAGTGGATGATTTTAAAAAACTCCTTAAAACATACCTATTTCCTACTTGATTCACTATTATTTTGTTTGTTAAATGTTATGTTATGATTGGTTGCTATATTGTTATATTTGCATATTATTGTAAGCACTGTGATATATAGTTTACTATGAATAGCGTAGCTAAATGCCTAATAATAATGATAATAATAATAATAGTAAACTGGCTCAAAAGAAACTGCACTGAAGAATCCAATGAAATATAGTGTAGTATGATTCACATTTCTGAATTTTTTAACACACAAGTACATGAATATGAGTAGGGGCTTTTGATGCAGGCAGTTATATTTTCTTTATTCCAATGTGTCATTCATTTACACATAAAATCTAATTGCACAGCAGCAGTCTTTTGAGGCAGTATACTACATAATGTGAACAAGGATCAACTAAGTGATCTTTCAAACGCAGTATACATACCGATACTTATTTTCAGCTCAGCTCAGGGCATGGCTGAAGGCTTGAGGGAAAAAAAATGCACTACAGTAAGTACTGAGACATCACACAAATATCAATCTACGGGACTGAGTGATAATGCCTAAGATTAATGGACTCTTTCTGCTCCTCTGCGGGCCACTTTTTAAATGTCATGTTTCATCTGACAGAAACCCCTCAATACCTACCCATCATTTCTCCGTCGTTATGGCTGATTGTAGATTGGCATTTTTAGAGTGCCGTTCCTTTGAGACTAGAAGCATGCAGGATGCATTGAAATTGCTCAAACATGTTGTTTATTGATGACAATTTTCATTAACTTCAGCTGCAGTACATACATGTACATGTACTGTATTATCAATTTCTTGCACATTTCAGGTTTCATTTTCTGAGTGTAAAACCTTTATCTTCAATTAGTTACATTTTTCAGTTTTCAAACTTTTGCCTGAAAATCTGTTTTCATTTGTTTCCTATATCACTAAAACTCTCCCTCTGATTCACGCAGCTCCTCTCCATCCTCCCCCGCCCCTCCCCCTCCCCCTCCCTCCTCTCCTTACATACATACATACATGTTGATATTTATCTAGCGCCTTTACATAAACATGCTCAAAGGGCTTATTCTCTCTCTCTCTCTCTCTCTCTCTCTCTCACAAACATACTGTCTTTTCATTTTTCTGTCTTCCTCCCACTAAAAATCAAAAGCAAGAAACGTATTCCTAAACTGAGTGGATATTTTTCCCACTCTCCCTCCCATTCTTCCCAACACCCAATATGTTATTTTCTTACAAACATGTATATAGAAGACATTCATCCTCAAGTATTTTCTGAACATAACATTTACAAAAGTCTCCTTTTTTTAATAGAATGGATTAGAGAGTTACACTAGCTTAATATATAGGCTTCATAAACTCAGGATATGCAATGAAATATCTGCATCAATTGGAAAGTACTCCCTAAAGATTGGCTTTGAACTATCATGACCAGAATTCATATTTCAGTCTCTTCTGGACATAATCATAGTCTCTTTATTTCCATTACATTTATCATTGTAAATTATATGCTTTAGGAGTAGTTACATGTAGCTCTGGTTTAGCAGTGAAATATCTGCATCAATTGGAAATTCTTCCCTAAAGCATGATTTTGGACCATCGTGACCAGAATTCCTCTTCAATTAAGTCTCTTTCGAACATACATAAATTATCTTAGTTTTCTTTAAATTTATCATTGAGAATAACATTAGCTTGTGTCTCTCACATGGACATGTAATAAGCTTCGGGTAAGTAGTTAATGTCTGCATCGATTGGAAAGGTTCCTAAAGCCTCATTTTGAACCGTTGTGACAACCAGAAGCCCTACACTGGGAGTAATTATCCTCATTGTAAGCTTAGAGGGCTCCAGCTCTCGCTAAAAATAGTTTCTTCTCGACACCGGCCTCGTCTTCAAGACTCCTCTTGTGGCAATATACACTGTATGTATATCTTTCCAAAGCAGATGGCTGTTCTAAGTAATATTTTTTTTCTTCAAAAACACGTCCATGAGCGAAGACAATTTAAATAAAATACAAGTACTGTTCAGGCCCATATGATGTACTTGTCGAGCAGGGGAACTCAAGATTAGTTTTTAAATTGAAACTATGAATAAAAACAACCCCAGCCTACATATGTATTCATCTTCATATCCTGTTTGGAGCCACAAGGGCGTTGACTTGTATACATGTACCCCATATACAATAAAGACATTTTTAAAAAATAGTCTATATCCATGAGAGAAAATTTAAATAATGCTACTGTTTGGGTCAAAATGATACAGAGTATACCTGTCAAGCAAGAGACTCAAGATTAACTTTAATTAAACTTTTTAAAAAATCACAGCCTATTCATCTTCATATCGTCTGTTAGGAGCCAGAAGGGTGTTAACTCAAACACCTCATATACATGTAAGGAGGCGTGATGGCTCAGTGGTAGAGCAGTATTCACATAACCAGAAGGTCCCAGGTTCAAAACCAAGTTGATGCGCTATAATGCCCTTCGGTAAGGCATTAATCCTTATTACCAAGTCCCTCAGAGAAGACTTTTAAAAGCCATATGTCCCCTGACTGCTTACTTACAAGCATGCACATGCTTTCTTTATCAGTCAGGTAAAGCAAACAAACCAACCACCTTCAGCACAGATGTAATGCCCTTCTGGCTCCGAACAGACAATATGTACATACAAATGGTCTGATATTCAGTACGTGTAACATGTACTTTCTACTTGTATCATATAAATGTCAAGGAGTTGAAGTGCAACAGCACATCATGATCACAGCAAACGCCCCCACACTGAGCAGAGAATACTCAATCATGCCCACTTCCCCATCTTTCCCGCTGTTTCTCTCTCTTATATTTACAGAATGAAGTCATCATGCATACCACTGCTTTAAAGAGGTTACTCTGCTGTAGACCATCAGGACATTGTGAGCAATGTTTATGAAAGACTGTAAGCAATTAATTTACTTAAAGGGTTTTACAAGAGGAATCTGCATGAAACTTGTCATTATGTTGTATAATGATTAATTTACCGTAGGTTATTTTGAGGGTCATTTTGGCTGCCTACAGTTGTATAACACTTCAAACTAATTGTGAATGTTGATGATTCAATAAAGCCTTCCAATGCTCCAAGACAATTCCTTGTTGAGGTGAAAATTGTTTGAAGTTGTCCTCAAGAGAATACAGAATGTTCCTTACAAAACAAACAATATATTATAGAAAATCTAGCTTTAGGAGTAAAGTCATTTCCTAATGAAAGTATGATGAAAAGGTAACATTTAAATTTGGATCCAAACAACTTAACATCTACAGTAGAAAGCTCCATACCTGAAACTACATTATGTGCGTGCACATACTGCAGATGGCAACCTGAAAATACACTGTACATGTACTCCAGTGTATGTGGGTACAGCTAGAGTAAAAGGATTGTATAAATAATGAAATATACTTGGAGAATAGTTAATTTGTTAATTTTCACAACTTTCTAACTTATGAAATGTAGCCCTGGAGGTCTGGACACACATACTTTACTGTAAACGTGACCATATTGCAACTTAAACAGCTCAATGTTTGAATATAAGACAAAATCAATCCCAGAACAAGTGTCAGAAGAACATTCAATCTGTTCATACTTCATAGCAAGAAGGGCATTAACTCTGTGTTTAAAGTTTACGTACATGAGTTTACTCCCCTTTGGCTCCGAGCAGACACACTGTTGGATCAATGGGTCAAAAGATCAGTCCTTGTTAAGCTACATGCAGTTTGTTACTAGTATTTAGAGTAAAATTACGTCATTTCTTTGAAAATATGGCATTTCAGATAAACAGTACAAATGTGTAATGTTTCAGCCGAAAATCAAAGGGTACACATGGTTCTTCGTAGGTTTTTTAAAATTGTGTTGATGATACAAACTACTTTATTTAAAAAATAATGTTTGGCGTGTTTTAATATAGCAACAGCATTTTGTAACTTTTAAGTTCCTCAAGAGTCAAAAAGTGTATTCACGGAAAAACAAATCACACAGTTTACAGCCAGAAACCAGAATCAAATGGAAATACATGTACCGGTAAATAATGGTCGTATCATGAAAACACTATTTAGTTTTATTAGTGAAACAATTTTGGTCATAAATTTGTCATAGCAATAATTCACTGGTGCTTGCTGCATAGATATCTTCTGGGTATTTATCAGCCACCTTTTTGCAGTACTGAACCAATGACTTCCTCAATCTTTCGATCTGTTATGACAAGCAAAATCATTTTTCTGGGTCAAAACTAACTTAATTCTCAAATTACCACCCACGGCATGAAGAAGAAAGCATGTTTTTCTGTCATTTGCCAATGAGCTTCAATCTTCGACCAGTACTGGCTCATGTGCCTGACTGGGTTAAGATCTATGGTAGATGGTAAAAGAGTTGGAATAACATGTTATGTTAAGACACGCCTTGACCTTTACAAGTAAACATACATGTAGCTTTTGCTTCACTTGCAACACTGCACAGTAAGCACAGTACAAGGAAAATTTCCTAGCATTAAAAGGGTTTATAATCCATCAGCTTGTCTGTCATATTAACCAGTTAACTAACACATGTTGTCCTTTCTATACATGTAGGTCTAATACAGGGAAAACTTGGTTTAGGTAGCGACGGGTTAGGAAGACATCAACTATGAATTGGGAGCCAACGTAAAAGTTAGGAGGGTTATGAGTGGGTGGTAAATCAGGGTTACAGATAGGGATAGGGAAGGTGTTGTCAGTTGTGATGTTAGATGTCCAAAAGTGCCTAGGCAAGCGAAAATTTGGAGCACTGAAAATGTTCATTGAACTTTTCACTCCTCCTCCTCCTCCTCCTCCTCTCCCCCCTCCTCATCCCCATCCCCATCCCCATTACCCTCCCCTCCCCCTCCCCCTCCCCCTCCCCCTCCCCCTCCCCTCCCCCTCCCCCTCCCCCTCCCCCTCCCCCCTCCCCCTCCTTTTACGTCTTGTCAAATTTCAACAATTCATGTGTACTGTAGGTAAAAAGAAGATTGTCATGATTTTAAAAAAAATCACCCAACACCAGAAGTGTCCATTGACGTTTGAATGAGCCATGAGTCTATTATGGATACAGACCGTGAGTCATCAGACAACATGCACCACTAATGAGGGTTGGACTGACTCATGATCTCACACCTGCGTTTGGGGCATTCCTAATCAAATTTCTTATGATAATAGGTATGGCAATTCTGTGCAATGTGTCCTGCACAACATACATGTATGACTCAAATCCATTCGTTTTTCTAAAAGTTTTACTATCCAAAAGTAAAAATCATTTGATACGCCAATTGATTAATGGTTCTTTCTGGCATCATTAACATTATTCAATGATCATATCAAATGACTTTGCATTTTTTGACAAACTGAAACTAAATAGAAAAAGTGCATACACCCTGTACATGACTGTGGCACAGCTCACAGACTCGCCCAACACATGTATAATGAACAGGAATACCATCAAGGTAGTACAATGAATGATGCAGACTTACACGAGCTAGTATACGGTAAAAGCATATTAATGTATAGTGTATATATCTTATTTATAATGCTGGGCTGAAGTTGAGCACAAGTGGCTGCCTGAATTTCTACAGCAACAAAGAAAGTAATGCAGGTGATTCAAATGAGTCAAAGCAGAAAATGTATTGGTTGCCTGAAGTGGGCAAAATTAAAATCTGCCATAAATTGGTCAACAAAAAAGAAGAGATAGGATAGAAAACAACTGACAACAATGACAATAAAGTCTAGGACATAATATCACCCTGCCTGCTAGAATCAATTGCTTTTCCATACATCGCACCTTCTTCACTCCATTGAGGAGCAATGTAGTTGAAAAGTTTTACCTAAATCAAGGATATGCTAGCTACATGTATATGGTGGTACTTGTTCCAAATAATACACACGTATTCAACAGAAACATCACCTCTCTGTGAAACCTGCTTTAGTGATCACCTTTATAGAAAGACCCCTGCCTATAAAGACCACATTTCTGTTTCCCTTGAATAGTGTTTCTCATTAAAACATGTACTAAAAGACCTGCACATAAAGACATTCTGCCTATTAGGGCTGCTCTTATTGTCTCCCGTGAGCCGCCTTTATATTCAGGTTTCACTGTAGGTAGGATGTCTTGCATAATTATAACTAAGCATAAGTTATTAATACTGTAATAAAATATAACCCACATTTGTATCTCTATTAACGACATGCACTTGAATAGAATGAAGTATCTACAGTTATCATCACTTTATATGACAGAGAGTATCAAAATGGAGAATAAAAGTTTTTTTATATGTGCTTCTTACATTTTAATACCGGATTTTAATAGTGGATTTGGAGCACTTATGTAAAGTGAAGCCCTAGAATGTGCCGAATTTATCAAAGCAATAGCCTAGCATTTTTTTCTAGGCCTTTGCTTGCATTTTCGTATCCAACAAAGCATTTGTTTTCTTTTTATCAGTTGCTTTTGCCACTAACGATATCCTTTTCTATTCGGAATTGTAAAGACTGTAATCAGATTTCATTTAGCATTATTGCAAAGGGAATTTATTCTTGTAAACAAAATGATTGCCAGATTTGCAAATGCTTACGTCAAAAGGAAAAATAAAAATCTGACTTCAGCCAATTGATTGACTATTTTCTTCTCAAAATCCTCTTATGATAGATAGCTGGGATTTTTCAGGGCTAATACTTTAATAGTCAGTAAGATTAGATCACCTTACTCTCTGCAATGATCTGGAGAATGAATTTGAATACTGCATGCTTTAATGCCTTGGTAAACAAACCCTATTTAGTTCAATTTCCTGCATGTCTAACAAAGCAAGACCTGCATGTATATCATTTGACTCTACTTGGTGATATCTTACTATTTGATCTATTGCTCCTACATTGTAGGTTGACCCTGTGCAAGCAAAAAAAAGCGTACATGTACATGTACATGTAGATGTCCACAAAAACAATTGCTAGGATTTGACTACTAGTAGTTTTCAAAACCTCTCGGGAAGGAAGTGGGCGTTAGTTATGCACCTCATTAAACTATTCAGGATCGAAGCAAGGTGTCTGATTATTCTCGCATTGAGTTTCAGACAGTGAGGGGCCCCAAAATTCAGAATGTATTTAGCAGTTACATGTAGCTGCCCTTTGATGTGATTTTGTTACATCTTATTCATGTAGTGTATTTTAATGTTGAGGACAAGAAATTTTTATCACAATCAAGTGGCATGTCTTTTTGGCTCGCTTGCTTTGCTCACTCAGAAAAAAAAAAAAAAATGAGACACTGGAAATTTGATATTCAGGGAACAAGGCATCAGCCCTAGGCTTGGAAAAATGAGCCCCTACAGCTATATGGGTGTATATTTAAATGGGTAATGCATCATGGTTAAACGCCTATGCAGGAAGCGAGCTACATGTACCTGAATATATACTCATATCGAGTTTCGGACATTGAGGCCGGGGCCCCGAATACATAACTTATTTTGCAGTTAGTTGCCCTTAGATGTGATTGTTTACATCTTATTCTGATACATGTAGTGTATTATAAAGGCACTTCAGGAATATATTCCATAAAATATTGATCTTGAATCAGAAAATGATATGGCTCAACAGTACGACACTCCTGGTGGATTAATACAGGTGTATATGCTTACCTAGTTTAGTAAGCATAGGCACTAAGTTCGCTGAATTTAGCAAACTCTGATTATCATATAATTGCTATTATTGAAAATTTAGTATCAAATTGGCAACGCAAAAACATATTTGTACGTGTTTACCACGTCTCTTGGCATTCAAGCTGGAACCGACATCGTAGGAGTATGGGTGCCAATTAAGACGAGATGATATCATATTTCATATAGACTCTTTCATCACCTACTAGGCTTTAAATGCTTAACCAGACAGTTATTTATGTCTCGAACACAACATGTTTAAAAACAACTGCTAAACTGATTACTGTAGCATGCAGCATGCATGAAACAAGGAAGCAAAAATCACAACAGTAATAATTTGTAAATATAACTAGATCTAGTCTAGATACAATGTTATTGATATCAATAATTCATATGGTACTGAAATCAATTCAGGTCATCTTGAACACGGTGAAATGCATTCCCATCACTCACAATCTCACTTGTTGAAGTCGCTCAGCCTCAGCCTAGCCAGCGCCAGGGACACAAAGTACAACGATACATCTATTCTTGGATTTGGACTCAGCTCAGTAACGAAACACACCCCTAAACTATATTCATCACATGTCATGGGCAGATGGGTCAAGACTCACCTCAGCAAAAATGTACCATCATCTGTCTCCATGTACGGGAAAAATAAACAATTTCCGCAGCTCACTGGTTCTTGGAAATAACGATTTGTCCCGGACAGAGTTACCAGCTGCGAGCGACTCGGCTGTTTCTGTGAGTTATTCTTGCATACTCAGTTCCGTGTAAAGTGCATGCTAGATATACGGCGGATAGCGACCGGCGACATCCATCCATGCATCTGCCGTGCGGTACGGTGCTCGAGCTTGCTCGTCCATTAATTTACATAGAATCAACACACAACAATAACAAACCGGCTACATATGGCGCGCGCAATATTTTGGTATTGCCTTACTTTCGGGTGATAGTCTTACTTCATTCTACTCATTTTATCATTATTCAAATTAATTCGGTATAACTTATCAAAATGAACAATTTAACATAAAAATAGTAGATAGTTATAAACCTTTGATATAGGCAGTTTCTGTAAAAGTCTATTATCAACTCATTTAATGCTCAAAATAACTTAATTTGTTGTTATAATAGCAAAGACCTGTCACATGTCTCTGATGTTAGACTAGGATACAAGACGGAGCGGCGTGGAGAGACTTTCTAGTTTTGTGGTGGTACCTACCTACTCGCCTCAATCCACCCCAGAGTTTCGGCCAAACACCCGACCGATTTCCGTGGCATGACAGCAGAGCGTTGGTGCTAGCCTGGCTATGCTGAAACATCGACATTACAGATTGCGGAAGGATTGAGAGACTAATTGACATCGTTACAGTCCGAGTGAGTTTAAATGTTAATGTTTCTAGGACTCGGACTTTCTTTCTGCAATTCAGGAATAAGGACTGACATTCACAGTCAATGTCATTTTGTTACTTTAAATTTTGTTTGTTGATTCAAGCTTAACAAAGCTCATCATTATCAACGCCGCATTCATATTATAAACATCAGACAAAGAAAGAAATTAAATAGTAAAAGGGTGCAGCATAGACTGTATTATTATGCGTAGACCATTGATAGATCTACTACTTTATTTGCAATTTTTTGTTTGTTTTATTTAGTATAGTTCTATGAAGAGCTTGCCAGTCTGGTAAATTTTGATTACTAATCTGTTTTGCGCTATGCCTACGCAACTTGAAATTGTTGAAGTTGAATGCTGGAACTTATATAGGGGAGTCTATCCTTATCAATATTATAGCCTGTTTTACTTTGTCATTTTAAATATTACAAATCTTCTCTAGCTTGAATTTCTTAATTTCTGTTGACTCCCACAACCAAAGCTCACTATGGCCTTTTATGTCTCTTTTGTTCATTAGCCTCTGATTTGGGTAGGGTCGGGAGCGGACGGGAGCCAACCCTACCCAAATCAGAGGGTAACGAATGAAAGAGACAGAAACTTCGGTCTAGCTGTACTCACTGTTTTTCTTTGAGGGGGGGGGGGGGGTCTATTATCTAGTTTTCTCAAACTCATTCAATGTGTAAATTTTCATATTTCAGATAATACGGTCTGCAAGATCAATTCAAGAGAGAAAATGGAAGAAAATCCACAAGCAATACCTCTTCCACCATCACCTACATCACCAAGGCAACCAGGAACAGAAGAACCTCTCTCTCACGTGGACGCCATGGCGATCGTCAGGAAGGAACTCGGTGAGATCCTTGACGATCCCCTCCTCAAAGATCTTCCTCCGGATGTTTGTGCGGAAGAGGTCAACCTCCAGATCGCGCTGGAATATGGCCAGGCTATGACGGTGATCGTCAGAAGAGCTGAAGGCGATGTCATGCGTAAGTAAACTGTTTTTTAATTATTTGGGAGTGCCTATATTACATCACCAGGGAGGCGTTACACAAAGATCCTAAGTCGAACTTAACTCTAATTGGACTTAAAAGTTATGGAGAGCTATCTGTATTCAAAAGCGAAAATTTGAATATTTTAGATTTTTATGAATTTATTCCACATCAAGAACATGAAATCTCCTTGATAATAGAAAATATGAATGATTTGAATATACATTTCATGCCTTATAAAATATCTTTTACAAAATATTTTCATAGATGCTAACGGCTTAACATACTTGTTAAGTCCAACTTAGAGATAAGTTCAACTTAGCATCTGTGTGAAACACTCCCCAGAAGCCAGAAACTCATTCCAAAATGAATTTAGCTAATTTCATCTCTTATAATGTAATATCATATGTTTGAACAGGATTTCTTCACTTTGTAAAACTTCTGGTTAATAATAAACACTGTTTATAACATGTTAATTTGAATGTTTTAAACATTTGAAGACTCTGCAATCATTATTCACTACATCTGTGGTATTCTGCATTACACATCAACCATGATCTACATTTTGTAACAATATTCTGTTTATGTGATCTAATTGAGACTATAATGTTTATACTGCAAGAGGGCGCTAGAGTCACCACTCCAATGTGACTGAATAAACCATACAGCCTGACAAAGTTTGGCACAGGAAATCACAGTTTGATGTATTATTATTTATGACTTCCTCATTTCAAATAACAACCAAGATGACAAACATTTCTCAGCACTTCATTTTGAAATGTTTTTGATACTTAAGTTTGAAGGACAATATTGAATTTTTGAGATGCCTATGACTGAAAACAAAAGACATCACCGTTTTGGTATATCATATTGTTGCTTACATGGACGGTTAGATGGTTAGAAATGAAATGAAATGTAAAAGTGCTCTGAAAGTATTGGAAGATGCATAAATTGCCCATATTTAAAGGCACATTCTTTTCTATAGAAAATCCCTAAAGAGAAACATTTGTATACCAAAATCTCAAATGAGATCAATGAATTATTCATATAAGATACCACTTTGGGGAGGGTGTTTCTTGGCAACATCTACAATGTATATGTAAAGATGTATTTTGCCTTTTTTCTCACATTCTCAGATTCCTTATTTTTTCATTTCATGATTGACAGCTGTCGTTGTGATGCAGACGGCAACCGTTCAGGATCTGAAGAGCGCAATCAAGAGGTACTTTGAGCTCAAGCAGGATCGAGAGGAAATCAAAAAGAAAATTAGCTGGTGAGAACAGAAACTGAACGATTCAAGTTTTCAAGTAGACTTGCATTAGATTTTAGTTTTATGATTTTTATTGGAAATGTTCTCAGCGCCTTAGATTGTTTTCCATGTTCTTACACTCTAATTTCTACTTTGATTATGCCAAATCAAACTTAAGATTGTAGTTCCTTAAACCTTTACAAGATGTTGATGAATATTGGTATGGAATAGATTTCCTACATGTAGTAATGTGTTTGGAAAAAAGGATAAAATTCTTCATAGTTTATAGTGTATTACAGTCAAGGGGGCTGATTAAGAATGGAGTTTAAGAATAAGGAATGAGATGAAAATTATAGACCTATTTACTGGGATTTAAGGCAGTCCTTTTTAATTTTCTAATTTGTTATGTAAATTTTTCCTTTAATGACTGTATTAGGAGATAAAATGGAAGATATTACCAGAGATGCCAGTCTTCAGGCTTTTGCCTGATTTCAGGCCCTGACAACTTCCCATTTCAAGCTTTTTCAGGCTTTATATTGTACAGCACATATGGGGCTTTTACAAGTTCTGGCTTCCTTTCAGGCCCAGTGAGTAAAACTGACTGGCATCCCTGTATTACAAATTGTGCTTCAAATTAGTTTGTAACTAGCATCAAAGATTGCAATGAATGACTGAGATGGGATATATATTGATGTAGCTGATGTATTTCAAAATACATTTAAATATTATTTCCTTCTGTCTTCCTGAATCTCTCAAGGCGATACGTCTGGAGGAGTTACTATCTTTGTTTTGAGGGTGAGAAGCTGACTGATGATTACAAGAAAATAAGAGAGTAAGTATTTTGATGCCTTTTTACTGAACAAAATGATCTATTTTTTTTATCCCCCCATATCTTGATATTATGATTTAGGACACATAATGCAAAGTTCCCATCGAAATCCTGGGTAATGAACGTTGTGAAGGATCAGAAGCTTTGTTGTGTCTTCTATGTTCAGTGTTCAAGATTGAATATACTGGATGTGATATTTCAAACAGTGAAAGATTATCACTATTTGGATGGTAGTTTGAGGGAAGGAGAAAAAGTATGTAATGTATTGTACATATACATGAGAAAGACATTTATTGAAATGAAACATTATTTTTCAATATTTCTCTTTTTTGTCTTCAGCTTTGGAATCAGGAATCGTGCCGAGGTGACCTTTGCCAAGAGACTGCATTCCAAAGGCGGAGGCTACTGATGATGATGATGAAATGACCAATCACGTCAAGATAAAGGGTTGCTATGGCAGCTGGATACGAGATGCCTATACCTGGGATTTGTCTTCTTGAGATGGAAAAAGAAGAGCAACCATGGCTCAAGGAGTTGTTTCTGTGAAGGAGGGGTGCTGGTTTGAGTGTCGACCTCCTGCCTGTATGAGCTGATGCTCTGGAACAGCGATGTGTGATAACATAGAGGGAGCTATTGCTTCGATGTCTTCATGAGCATGCAGGAAGTCGGAGGAATGTCTCAGATGAAGGACGAATGTTAATGGCATGAACCTAGAGGGCGCAATTGCTTCAGTGTTTTCATGAGCATGCAGGAAGCCAGAGGAATGTTCATGACATCAATGTAGTCTATGATTTGGTTCTTGCTTCAGATTGGTGTGACATAGTTATCCTGATGATTGGCAGCTGTGAAGGTTGAAGACACTTGGAAGGTTCCAATGCTTTCATTTCTTCACCTACATTGTAGATGTAGGACCAAGGAGTGTGGAGGCTGCAGGAAGTCTCTGGTGAAAGATACCCATCAGTATCGCCAATGTGAATTATGATCTTGGGGGTGTTTCACAAAGATCCTAAGTCAAACTTAACTCTAAGTTCGACTTAAAAACTATGGAGAGCCATCTGTAGCCTCAAAATAAAGTATATATATTTAAGTATTTTAGACTTTTTATAAATTCCATATCAAGAACATGAAATTTCTGTGATAATAGAAAATATGAGCAATTTGTATCAACACTTTATGCCTTTTAAAATAACTTTTACAAAATATTTTCATAGATGCTAACAGCTTTCCATAATTGTTAAGTCCAACTTAGACATAAGTTCAACTG